GTGTCGATCAGCGTATTGATCAGAGTGTCGATCAGCGTGTCGATCAGCGCGTCGATCAGTGTATCGATCAGAGTGTCGATCAGCGTATTGATCAGAGTGTCGATCAGCGTGTCGATCAGCGTATTGATCAGTGTATCAGTGTATTGATCAGTGTACTGACCTGCGCTGGCTGTTCATGCTCGACACGCGCGTCCAGCTGTCCGTCTCGGGGTTGTAAACTTCCACCGTGCTGAGCCGTGATTGGCCGTCGTATCCCCCAATGGCATACAGCAGCCCATTAACGACGGCCACACCCACCCTGCTGCGAGCTGTCCTCATTGGCTGGCAGCGCTCCCAGAAGTTTCCAATTGGATCGAACACCTCGACGACATTTAAGGAGTCACCTGCGGGAGAAGAAGAGTCCGTCAGCTGCGCGGAGCGTGCAGACACGCTGCCTCAGGTGAGCGGCGTACCTGAGCTGTTGAGGCCTCCCACCGCATAGATGAGCCCTGTGATGGACGTGCAGCACCTCTGCCTGGTTTTAAAGGTGGGCAGGTGAGGGCGGCGCTCCGGCATCAGGTGGAAATCCTTGGCTTCATCCACCAAATCCCTGACAAGAAACACAGCTGGGCATTAACCCCGCCCAGAAACGATCACACAGGTAAGACGTGAAGCCTCGCTGCGTCTCACCTGCACTTGTGGCAGCAGCGTATGAGCTCATCCTGCTGGACGCGGTCCGACAGGAACTCGGGTCGACACAGAGGAAGTCGCACCTTTGACAGCAGCTCGGGCAGCAGCGTCTCCCTGCGGTCCTGGTCGTGATGGACCCACGCCAGCACCGCCTCGAACACCTGCACAGGTACCAGAGGAGCACCGTGGGAGCATGAAGACAACGCGTTTAATACAGGAGCTCATTTTTCACGCCGTGACTCAAAAGGCGAGCCTTGGTATGTGGCACACCTGTGACAGCTAAACCGCTAAAGCTCGCCAACGGCTTGGTCGACCTTTCTGAAGGACAGCCGTGACCCAATCACCTGTTCCTGAAGCTCGCCCCTACACTCTGTGAGGGCGGGGCTTAGCAGCCTGCTTTTATTTTTGGTTTCCTCTCTCCTGACTGCTCTCTTCCTGTCACTTGGGTCAAAGGTCACCGTCTCCCCCGATGTGCTCTACCTGCACAGCTGTGACTACGATGACGTCACAGCTGTTCTCTGATGCTCCACGCCACCGCCCTCAGCTGAGGCGACTCACCTGCTCTTCGGCCTTCACGTTGAGCTCGTCGCAGCCGACGAGCTCCAGCAGCTCCTCCGTCCTGAGGCCCAGGAACTCCTCCGACAGCGACACCTCCACAAAGTGCTGGTGCAGGAAGCTGTTCGCCGAGTCGTACAGCGTCGTGCACATCATCGTCTCGGCGAACTGACGCACGCCGAGGCAGTTCTTCGGGTGTAACCTGCAAGCAAACATGCCATTAGCTCGCCTGAACGTAAGCTCCAGGGAGCGTGCGATCTGAGCGTGTGCGGCAGGGCGGGACTGACCTCTCCTGCAGGAAAGAGCAGCAGGCGTCTTTGACATTCTGAAGCTGCAGGAAGCTCGAGCCAATCAGGAGAGACTGCACGTTCTGCTGGTCGATGGCGACGTGCCCGCTGTACGCGAAGTTTATCAGAGCCTCCAGAGCGCTGCAACACACCGCAGTGGTTACTATAGTTACTATGGTCACACAGTTACTGACGTTTTGTTAAATCAATGAAAATATTGCAGGAATGCAGCGAACACGACGGACCGCCATCCTGAGACGCTGACAGAACAAACGTGCGTTACATCAGCAGCACAGCGTTGAGCCTGCGTCACTCACTGACCTCAGATCAGTGACGTCTGTGCTTCATGTTCTGTTTTCATTTATACAGTCGCCTCAGGGCGCTTTATACTGTAAGGTCGACGCTACAATAACACATGCAGAGAAAAC